GGCAACAGAGTGAGACTCTGTCTCAAAAAACAAAAACAAAAACAAAAACCATCGTTTTTGCTCCTGTGAGATCTGATGATTTTCCCAACATGTTGGCAAAGACAGTTTCATGCCCCATCTCAGTTAATCATCCACCCTCCCTGCCCCTTGTTAAAGCTGCAGAACATTCTGGAAGGGGTGGCTCCCCCACCCGGCTCCGGACCTTGCAACCTGCCAGGTGTTGGGGTAACTCGGGGTTTCCCTGCTGGACTTTTGGTTTTGACCACTTCCTTCTCTTCGGCTAAGACAGCCAGAACCAGGGCGTGTGGATCAGAACCTTCCCTGAAGTTCCGGACGGTTGGGGGAAGGAGAACTGGCTCTTTGTAAAGTGAATGAACGACTCTGAGGTCGGAGACTCGGAAAGACCGATTTTCTGAACTTGCTCTTTCCCCCCAAGAACTTAACGTGAGGTCTTTGTTGTTAAATTTCTCACCCTGTGAAAGAGGGAGGCCAATATTTCTCACGTTTCCAGGTTTCTGGTCAGGACTCCATTAATATGCTCAAAAGGCTCCCAATCACACATGAGAAATGTCTAGAAAGAAGCATCTGACTGTTATCCCAGGGACTGTAAGGCGAGTCCTCCCCCTGGTCCAACAGAGCCAGGCCCGGTTGGGGCCCGGGGGGCCGGGGCTTCCTCCCCAGCCTGGAGCTCAGGGTTACCTGCGACTTCGTCAGATAAGTCAGGAAAGGACAGATCTAAAGTAACTTTTGAGATTTTGCCTAACTTTGAAGGCAGGAATTGATCTTCAGCTATAAATTATTAGGTTTCGGGGGTGTATATTTCATATATGGTGTGTATCATATATAATATTATACGTATTACCTTTTCTAAGTAGCTCTTTCGGTTTATTTATGCCACTGTATAAATCAGTACTTTAACAGCATAGATTTTACGGTGTGGAGACTCTGTCCTGTTGTGGTCTGTGGGTATATATATTATATTCCTGTATAGATTTAGCCGACGGCCACGTTCGTTACTTTCTGCCCTGTTTCCTGTTTGAAGGTGTGAAGTGGGAACAAACAACTGGGTGCAGTGCAATGATGCCCCCGTGAAAATCTGCAAATACCCCGTGACGGGACTTTTTGAAGGAAGGTCTTACGTGTTCCGCGTCAGGGCCGTGAACAGCGCGGGCGTCAGCCGGCCCTCCAGGGTCTCGGACGCGGTGGCCGCCCTGGATCCCGGCGACCTCAAAAGGTTACAAGGTGGGCGGCTGGGCGTCGGGCCCCCACGCTGGCGGGGGAGGCCGGGCGCCTGGGGCCGTGGGACGTCGCTGCGTGCTGAGCGCGGCACGGGGTCCTCTCTGCTCCACGACCTCCCGTCAAGGTCACCTTGGGAGTGGGGCAGCCAGCCTGATGTGGACACTTTAATGCATTTCGCCTCCGCAAAGCTCTTCGCTGGAATCCAGATAAACTGGCTCGAAATTAGACCTTTCTCAGGCCATGGGGGGTATGATTTGAGCTCATGATGAGACTTGGGAAGTCTTGAAACGAAGCCGCTCTGTTTCTGAGTTTTAATTTCACATGACACAGACTCCCCCATGGGGTTGGGCTCTTAATGGTGGTTTTAACGGACCCTCTGTGTTTTCCGAGCCCGCGTGGTCCTTTCCATCCACTACAAAGCGCTGAGAGGCGCTAAATATTACCAGGACCATGTCCAAAGTGTCACTCTGGTCACCCAGAGGACGGTCCAAGGTGCGGTCCCGACGCAGGGGCCACTCGGACCTTGCCCTGCTCTAGGGAAATCGCTGCTTCCTTCCGGAAACCTTGGACGTCAAATTTACCATCCGCCTTTCTCTCCGCAGCTATTCACCTGGAGGGAGAGAAAGAAATTGTCATCTATGAAGAGGAGCTTGAAGGTACGTAGAGCTCACGCTTCCCTGCGGCCGCCGTGCCCGGGGGTTCAGGGCTGTGATCAGAGCTGTGAGGAACATCCGCGGGGCGCCGCCTCTTTGCACGTAAAAACAAAACTGTGGGTGTCGCCCGCGAGTGCGATGTCTGTGGATATCTAAAATAAAGGAAAGACAGAATGAGGAAGTGGGGAAGAGAATCACGGACCGTGTTCCCCTCAGGGGTCACAGATGCAGTCGTTCGAGGACTTGCGGAGCAGAAACCGAACTGAAGACAAGATGCGATCGCTGGCTGCCGCGTGTGTCCTCACGGGTTCCATCGGTGGAACTATTTCATTTTACTTTTCTTAAGCAGAGATTTTCTTCCTAACATTTTAACCGAAATAGATCGAGTCTTTCCTGTCAAATGATGTTCTGCGTTTGGAAGTTCATACTTTCCTTATTTATGCCTGTTTGTGCGACTACTTCTTCTCCTTAATTATTCCTTCCAGGGATCGTTAGGAGGAATGATTTGTGAAGAAGGGACATCTAACATGATTAATCCGATTTCAGTTGCACTTCCAATTAGAGCTCATAAAGTGCAGTGGGTGAAAACTTCAAAAGCAAGATTCCAAACCGATTTGGAGCCAGTGCCTGGGGAGAGGCACTTCCGAGCTCTTCTTCAAAATCACAGAGTCCGGAATGTTCTTCCCCCAGACAGCTGCCGGTGCAGGAGAGTTTGTTGATTGAGTTTCATATTTGAAGGAGACAGACCCCAAATGGCATCGACACATAATGATTTTTCTCCGGGACCTTAAAAAGAACACTCGTCACAATGCCTCCCACAGGGGACATGAAACCCCCGGGAGCCCCCGTTAGAGTCCCGGGTAACCCCGAGGGAACACTTGGAGTCTCAGTCCGGACCTCAGCTTCCAGAAGAAATCCACAGCAGGGAAAGATGCTCTGCGAACAAGGAGGGAAAGACTTAGGGAGGGTCGACGTCCTGTGGCCTCTCAAACAGCCGCCGTGTTCCCCTTCATCTGCTGTGCGCCCTGCGCCTGATAACGCTCTTGATGCTTCTCTGATGATTAAAACGTAGATATTTGAAAGAATAAAAAAATGCCTCCGAATTACACCGGAAGAGAAGATATTCTTGAGCAGAGCCGCCTGTGTGAAATGCGGGTTTCGGGCGTTGCGAGAGGACAGGGCAGGGCTCTTGTCACTCCTCGCGGTCGGGTGACATCAGGAGGAGAGATGTCGCCTGGGCCACCCTGGGGGACAGGGGGACGTCAGGGCTGGCAAGGGCGGCCCTGGACGGCAAGGAGTCCCCTGCTTCATGAACGTCACGCCCCTGTGATGGGACGTGCGCTGTGGGAGGACGCGCCTTTCGGGGGAGACCGTCTCTCCGTCACACATAATGTGTCGGGGTATAAATAGCCGTTCGTTCGGCACCAAATAATGAAATAGCTGATTCCTAAGTCTGGGTCTGCGCAGTGGTTAAACGGAAGTTCCGTTCCCAGGCGCGGGGTTCTTATTTCCAAGTGGAACAAAGTCACAGACAACATTTCTCCTGTTTATTCCGACGTCTCTTTTCTTACCCGAAAGCGGGTTTTGGTCCCTCGAGACTGTGCCTTCTGTCTGCTGCGTTCTTGAACTCGCGGCGTTTACGCGCACCCCGGGAGCCCTGGCCGAGGCTGTCTGCGTAGCTGGGCGTGGAAGGCGGAGGTAAGACGTTCCCACGGAACAGTGTCTGACGTGGGACGTCAGTGCCGCCCGGAGTGCAGCCGCGGGCCTTCAGGTCTCCGGCGTGAGGCTTTTCCTGCAGAAAACGGGCGGTCGCCTTGGTCTAAAACAAACTCACGTGAAATCGAAATCCTGCCACAGTGATGGAGAGGTTTGGAATGTTCATCTGTCCACCTCAGTCGTTTTAAACGGTGGACAGACACCTCCTTTAATTAAAAAAAAAATCTTTAGGAAAAGAAAGAGTTTCTATAACGTTTTTAAGCAAACCATTTCTGGGTTCAAAAATTTGCTATTAGGAAGGTCCCTTTTCAACCCCATCTCTTTTCTTCACAGAAGCTGATTTTTTTTCTTTTAACATCACTTTAGCTAAAAAAGACTCGGTAAAGGCCACTTGTTTTAATGAAACAGAAACTTATGACTTTTGTTGGCTAAAAATCTCTCCTGTGCTATTTTCGCCTTAGGGCTACATTTTTCTAATCGTTTTTATCTTGGGCAGTGTCTTGCTTCAAACATTTAAGGTCGTATCAATGCTCTTTCCTTAATAGCATCCAACTTCTCCAGTATTTCTTGAATTGCTCCATTGAAAATTGGATACTCTGTTCTTGGAAAGGCCGGAATGGCTGTT